TTGTGGCCCTTTCTGTTAATGCAGTTGGCATCTGTGCTCACCCACACAATTAGGTTTTCCACCTCTCTTGAGGTGCAGGAGAGAATAACTGATCCCTTGGAGAATGCAATATGTATTAAAGTTCCACCAGGTGCCTGTGTAATCCTCACAACCACCCTGCAAAGTCACATCATCACCCCCAGTTTGTTGATGAAGCCCAGCTCAGAGACCAACAGTCACTTAGTGAAGATCACACAGCTGCCAAGTCTTGGGCTGGGAGGTGAACTCAGGTCTGACTCGAGTCTAAAGCTCTTTTCAAGGATGAGGAAGGCAAGACTTTCACAATGTCCTAAGAAGGCAAAAGCAATGGCTTCCCCGGGGTGCCCCTCATCCTCCCTGCATGGAGAGGCTCAAGGCAAACCCTGCGTGCCATGGAACCTAGGCATAGAACCTGTTGGCAGTCTAGTGTGTGTCCTTGGAGACAAGGTATTCCCTGCCATGCTGATGGTGAGAATAGTAACAACAATAACTTCCAGAGTGTTAATAACAAGTCAGGCAAGATGCCAGGTCCCTTGGGGCACCTTATCTCAAGTCCTTATACGAATATTTGCCCGCAGCAGAATAAGTCCCCATTTCACAGAGGAGGATCAGCTAGGTGCCAGGGCCATGTGGTCTCTAAGCCTGGCTCCAGTGGACAGGGCAGGAGAGAGTTGACAGTCACCAATTATATACACAGAGGAGATCCTCCCAGCCTGCTTCCCCTACTCAAGAAAAATAGGGCAAACAAATAAGGCCACACCAGCCCAGTGCCCAGGGAGTCGAGGGTGAGCCAGGAGTCACTGTGAATAATGCCTCCGTTCAGCAGCAGGGGACTGCAGCCTCAGGAAGGCCTGTGCTTACCCACTTGCACACAGCCAAGGTACTGGGTTAAATGGTGAGATGCCCTCCAAAGGGCCAGAGGGTCCCCAGACTTGGGCTGCCAGGGTGAGCCCTTTGGGTCTCAGTCCCCAGAGACAGCACCATGAAAGCCTTTTTGTAAGGCAAAGTCCTGGCTCCTCCTCTCAGGCAGATAGTCTCCAGGACAGGCCCTCTGCAGTCCGGAGTGAGTCTTCTGGGGTGAGATGGGGGGCTCACTGGCTGGGGTACACACTGGAGAAGGAGTGCTGCTGGAAAGTGGCACCCTGCAGGAGGGCCTATGGGAGGCCTTCCAGGCTGGGAGAAGCAGCAGCCAGAGAAGGCTGAGCCTGACTACTCTCCCCCTGGGCCACACCCGAACTTGGGAGCTGGATGGCGAGGGTGGGGGGAGAGGTGAGCCTCCCAGGAAGGTCTTTCCCAGGGTAAACACTTCCAAAGAAAGGAATGTGTAGGGCAGAGCGGTTGGGCAAAGGGAGCTGCAGCCAGCTGGGGGAAATTTTTTTAAAACTCATGCCAGGACTCACCCCAGGGCTTTTTGTGAAACTCAATCAAAGCCTCGATGCTCCCCTTCTGCCAAGGAGGGCACATCCTACCTGGATAGGCGAGCCCAAAGAGCCCCCGTCGGGCCCGACGGAGCCCTAGAAGTCTGTGCAGCCGAGAGGCTCCACCGCCCGGGCAGGCCTTGCGGGCGGAAGGGCGCCGCGGCCTTGCCGCCGAGGTAGGAGCGCAGCCCGGGCTGGAGCTCCGCGTCTCGCCGCGCACAAAGGCGCCGGCTCGCGCCCCAGCGGGTCTTGGGTCGTCAGACCTGGGAGCTGTCTTACAAGCGATTAGACTCCATTTTGTGACAGATTTTTGGACTCTCCCACCGACCCTCCCCCTTTCCGGAGCCTCCTCCAGGAATTCGCCACCTCTTCAGGATAAAAACCCTTTCCAGACGAGCGACAGACGGCAAGAAAAGAGAGTTACATAAGTCTATTTGGCCAAGCCGCCAAGAAAAAAACAGGGCGGGGGGGGGGCGGGGAACGTGCCTTATTTTTCATTTGTTCTCTGGTGGAGGATGGGGAGAGGTGTTCCTCTCCGTTTCTTAACCGGTTTTCTGTCCGAAAAGGCTTTTTTTTTTTTTTTTTAAATGAGCCCCCAAAAATCACACACGGGGAAAAAGGAGACTTTTGGAGTTAAGAATGAAAATGCCCAAACTCTGCGGCTGACCTCTGCTGTGCTCCGCTCACCAAGGATGTACAAGAGGATTTTATCAAATTCGGCTCAATGTGCCCCAGTGTCAATTAATCACCCCCGTGGTGCGTAAAAGAACTTGGCACTTCTGGGTATCCCGGATCTAGGAGAACACATCGAAAGGAGGAAGAAACATATAACAAAAAACGGCAACTTCTTTTTAAGGATGGAGCCCTGCAACTCAATCAGGCGTGAGGACACATTTTTCAAAAGTTGTATTTGGTGCGGGGGTTGTTAATTTCCCGATGCCGCTGACGCAAAGACTCGACAAAATCAAGAAGGCACGTTTCTGTACCCGCTCGCCTGGATTCTCGTCTGAAAAGCATTTACGCACAGATGAAATAAATATGCATCTGCGAATCTCAAAGAAGAAAAGAAATGTGAATAAAAAAATTTATTGTGCAAAGAATATCCCTTTCCAGGGAGCCGCTGCCTGCCTGGAGCGGTGCTCCACCTCCCTGCAAAACGACTCCCTGGGTATTTGTCCCCAGGACTGTCTTGATAACAACCACCCCACACCTAACCCCTAGCACATCCTGCTGGCCTAACGAAGATACCTAATTGGGATTACTGGGAAAAACGGGATGAGGGAGGAGAAGTGAACTGCATAACTAGAATAATACACTCCCCACCCCGTGCTTCAGCCCCACAGGACCCAGACTGAGTGAGGTCTGGGGACCTGAGATTCGCCCTGTGCCAAAAATAATTCCCAACACTCGGGACTGCACTGAAGAATCCGGCTCTTAGGTGACTTTTTCCTTTTCTTTAAAAAACAAATATACTTTGGACAAAGCAGTCACAAATGTTTAACGTTTGTTTTGTAGGATGAGGGGGTGAGCCGCTCCTCTCTAAGGCAACATCCAGCTGAAATTTCATGACTTTACCATTCTGTGCCTGAAGAACTGGGGGCATCCTTTCTTCTTGTAAAAGAGAAGCTCCATAAATGATCATGGGGGGTAGGGGAGGCAGAATATGTACAAGTGATTGGTGAATCTTTTCAATATATTAAAAGTAGTTTTGTTTTGTTTTTCAAACCATGCAAATGATTCGGAGGTCCCTTTCTAGTTTCCCCGGCCCCCTTCCCCCACGTGTGTCGCCAAGGCTGGTGGCTGACCTGGGTGGTAAGTGGCACTGCCAGAGCTCGGAGGTCAGGCCAGCAGAGACCAGGGGTGCAGGGCTGGTGGGGAGAGGGCTGGAAGCTGTTGCTCTCTACAGAGTCCAGCCCAGAGCCCACAACCACATCTATCCCAATCTGATTTTCCCATTCTATTTGTGCTGCTATATGCTTGGGCTGTGGCTGAACTGACTGGCGGCATCTCCCTCTCCCAGAACTAGAATCAAATTAGTCCAGAGCACAGCACAAAGCCAACCGACAGCTGCATCTCTAAATCTGGGGTGCTTCCTACTGAGAAGAAGGCCTCACCTGCACTCTGGGACCAGCAAAACAGCTGACCCTCTGAATGGACTCCAATCCCTACCCAAAGATCCCTCAGCCGGAAGAAAGAGCTAAGTGCAAAAAGCAGCTCCAGCTCAGCCGCTAGAGCACCGGGCACAGCCAGAGCCTTTTGGGGTAAAACCTGATGCCCTCTCTAGGGCTCTGGCCTGCACTATTTCCAGGCCTCAGTTAAACAGTTCGGCTGTGCTGCTTTCCATTAGACCCTGGATTTGGGGACAGTCCCTGGGCACTGCAGGGAGGGTGCACTCACCATGAGGCACCGGCAGCCCAGCTTTTCTTTCCCTGGATGCTCGGGCATACATAGTCCTCTCTGAGCACTAAACAACCGAAGTGGTATACCCACTCTGCAGCCTCATCCAGGACGGTTTTCTGGCACCACTAAAAAGTTTTCACAGGCACCCACTTGTCTCTGCAATGTGGCTTTGGGGATCCCCACACCCCTCTTTCAGTTGTGGCTCCTCACTGCCTCCCTCCCAATTGCACTGCCAGGCACAAAATCCAGCAGGTCAAAAGAAAAAGCCTGCATGTACTGTTATCTGTCCCCAGCCCCGGCTATACAAATCCAGTCTCGGCTAAAAACTAAAGTTAGCAAGAAGGGCTCAAGCCACGTCTCTGGTCTCAGCGCCGAGGTTTGGGTTATACCAGGGCAAAGCGGGCTGTTCCCCTCCTCAGTACACACTGCTAGAAAGGAGACCTTCTGGGGAGGGCTAACTCTGTCAGCTCCTCACTCCCACTGGGAGCCCCAGGTTGTAGCTTGTCCCCCTTTGACGTCCTCTTCCTGGAATGCTTCTCCAACCCAGAAAAACTGCAAGTGCAAAATTCCCGCATGGAACGGTTTGGGGAATATGGACATTCTTTTCTCTCCATCAGGGACTAACAGTGCAGCAGGGAGCCTGGCAGACAGGGGGCCTCCCTTGCTGCTCAGGCCGTTCAGTGGCCAGCACCTCACCTCCTGGCTCCCGGCTCCCGGCTCCAGGAATCCCAAATCCCCACTCACCAGGGCCTTGAAGCAGTCCGCCAGGCCTGGCCCCCTAAAGCACCGTTTTCCTTTGGAAATCAATTTTGTTTTCCCAATTCTGACCTCCGTAGGGCCAGACCCTATCCCAAGACCCAGGCACCAAATTCCTCAGCCGGCCCAGGGCCTCGGCCTGCACCCCAATTCAGCGGCCCAGAGCAGGATTCCGGGATAACGGATGGCAACTGGGGGCCGTCCGGAGGTTCCCGGGACCCCATCAGTGCCGGCTGGCTGGGCTGCTCTGCCCCAGCCCCAAGACGCGCAGCTCCCGGAGCCCTCAGAGCTGCCTGGCCCAGCGGCGCACTGAGCCGGCAGCAGAGCTGGCGAGGGCCGGGCCCGGCAGGGGGCTGGCTGGGCTCGAGTGCCGGGTGGTGGCGGGGAAGAAGGACGAGAAGCGCTTACTGTTGGTAGTCTTGTTTGCAGTACAGTTTCCGATCCCGGAAGTAGCAGCTGGTGGTGAGGGCTTGCTGACACGCCGCGCACTGCAAACACTCCTCGTGCCAGGACGACTCGTTGACTCGCATCAGGAAGCGGTCGGAGATGGGCCGCTGGCAGCCCTCGCAGACGGCGGGATGCGGGCAGTCGGAGCCTACAGCGCACGGGGCGAAAGTACGGCGGTCAGCACCGCCCGGCCCAGCTCTGGCGTCCCGGTCGCACGGGGCCCACAGCCCCCGGCCCCGAAGGCTCGGGACGCCCGGGATCACCGCCCGCCGCCTGCACTCCCTGGACCGCTGCGCCAGGGGCCGGGCAGCCCCAGCTAGTCGGTCCCAGTCCGAAGGCTCCAGAGTGGAGAGGCCGCGGGCCTCGAGCCTCGGCTCGGCGCTGCGCTCTCCCCGTCTCCGGAGAATCCGCGCTCGGTGTTAAGACAAATGAGAACGAGCATGGCGCAGGGTGGCCGGCTGGGACCAAGACAGGCGAGGTGAGGCTGGGGCGCTCGCTGGCTGACACGCCCCACGGCAGCGCTCCTGGTCTTCTGTCCCCGATATCCCCAAGATCTGTGGTTTGAGTGACCCGGGAGACGTTTTTCTCTTAGAAGCTCCCCCACCCCAGGTGAGCTGGCGCCTCTCTCAAGCTCGCCAAGGTGACTGCTAGGTCTTCCATCACCCCTGCCACCCGCCACCTACGCAGCCAGAGTGGCAGCTCTAGAACCTAGGCCTGAAAGGATGGTGGGTGGCGACTGGAGCTGTCCTGTCCCCTCAGGACGCCCGCCGGAGGCGTGCTTGCGGCCCTCTGGTGATCACTCCAGGAGTCCTGTCTCTCTCTGCCCCCATCCCCATGGCAAACCCATTTCCTTTATCCGTTGGCCCGGACGCCCGTGTCCACAGCCGGACGACGCCCCTGTCCCAAGCCTGACACCACTCGAACGTTCCGATCCCGCACTCACCCAGCAGCACCCCCAGAGTGGCGGGTCCAGGGCGCAGGGCGTGCTCCTCCATCTTGATGCCGTCCAACATCTTGGCGCAGTCCGTCTGCCCGCGAGGGAAGCACCTCTCCAGCGACTCGGGACCTGTTGCTATATCCATGGGACGCGGGGCGCGCTGCGGACTACGCCGGCCCGGCTGCTCGCCTGCCGGCCGGTCCGCCCGCTCTCCGCCGCCGCGGCCCTGGAGCCGGGGAGGCGCGGCCCCCGCGGGGCAGGGGCTGCGGCGGCCCCCGGCGAGCGTGGAGCTGCGGCGCGCTGGCCCCGGGCCCCGGCGTCGTGCGGGCGGGCCGGGGCGGCTGCAGCCCGCGCCGCGCTCTCCCGGGCACTCGCAGCCACGCGCGCCGGCTCCCCTGTCACCTGCTTGTCAGTCCCGGAGCCCGGCGGCGGCGGCGGCGGCGGCGGCAGACGGAGCCGCAGGGAGGAGGCGGCGGCAACTGCGGCGGCGGGCGGGGGAGGGGGTGGGGGGTGCAGGGGCGGCCCCGCGGGCCGTGGGGGCGGTGCGCGGCGCAGCGGGGTCCCGGGCGGGGCGCAGCGGGCCGCGGGGCTCCGGGCGCGCTCCCCGCGCTACTCCAGTGCCATGGTGCGCCCGCAGAGCCGCCGGGTTTAGAGCTGGGGCTGGCGGCGGAGGGATACGGGCCGCCTCACCTTCCGAAACTTCCTGACATTTGAACCCCGCGGCCCGTATCCCTGCGCCGGGATGCGCCGCCGGCTCCACGTCAAATAGTGCCGTCCCGCCGCCCCCCCTCGTGTCCCGGCGCCCCGCGCCGCGCCTGGCCCCGAGAGCGGGCCCCAGCGCCCCGGTCCGGCCGGCCGCCACGCGGGCCCCTTGCAGAAGTTCGGGTCGCCTTCGAAACAAATCTCTCTGCTCCACCCCCTTGAAAAACTGATTTGGGAGTTGGGGAGCGAAGGCTTTCTCTTTTCTCCCCTGTCTTCTTTATTATTAATATTTTGTAAAGCTCCAGCGCTACGAGGAGTGGCCCCGAGCGAGGCCAGGCTGCGCGGACGGCGGGGAGCGCGGCGGCTCCTCCAGGGGATGGCGCCGGCCCGGAGTGGCTACCCGGGGACCCCCGACTGTCGGCCGAGGTAGGTCGCCGGAGCTGAGTCGGCGTCCTCCGGGCGGCGGCGCCTGTTCGGGGTGGCTTGGTCTGCGGAGAGGGCCGGCTCCCGGGATCGAGGGACGGGGGCGGGCAGAAGGCAAGGACGGCTGGCCCTGGACTCGCCCAAGGGGGACCCAGGCCCAGGAACGGGGAGTGGGCCCGGAGTGTGGGTGAGGGGTCCGGGAAAACTCCAGGCCTGGCAGAGATTGGGCGGAGGTCTGAGCCCAAGGGAGGCTGGGCCCCCCGGGATCGAGAATGGGGGACACTGGGCCGACAAGGAAGGTCAGGCCCGGGTTCAGGCAACCGAGAGTTTCGAGGACAACTAAGGCTGGAAAAGGGCCCCCCCGGGCGGGGGCGGGAGCGATAGGCAAGAGCCGGGCCTCCTCGGGTTTGCAGCGAGGGGCTCTGGGAGGGAGTGGTGGCTCCAGAGAAATCGGCTTGGCTACCAAGATTGGCGTCCTTTGGCGTCCCGGGTACCCGGCCCGGGGTCGCTGGGCCGCGCGGATCAAGGGCCGTGCCCTGGCCAACCTGGGCAAAGTGGGCCTCGGCACCGGGAAGCGAAAGGCCGGCGAGACGGAGCTGCTGATTCCCGCGCTAGGCGGGCCTGGCACCCGCGTCCGGTGCGAGAGGCCACTGCGTCGGGCCGGCTGTCTGCGGCCCCTGGGTCCCCACCGACGCGCGGCTCACCGGGGAGCAAGGGGGCGGGTGAGGCTCGGGGCAGCAGCGGGCTGACCCTCGCGATCCGCTGCGGGGCGGCCCCGGCTCCTCCCGGAGCGAAGCAGCGGCGCGGAGCCAGGCGGGGGCGGAGGGCATGGGGGGCGGGTCCCCTGACCTCGCTGGAGGCGAGAGGGCAGATCGGATTTGGAACCTACGGGAGGCTTGGTCAGAAGTGGCCCCCTGCGCCGCGGGGCCCCTCGGAGGGGCCGGGCTTTGTGGAGGATTGGAGGCTCCCGCCCCACTCCAATACCTGCGTATGTGTCGGTGGGTATCTGCGTGTGTCTGTGCGTGTCGGGCCCCCGCCTCTGCGGCTCCTCCGTGGGCACCTTGGCTCTGCACACACGGTATGTGTGTTCCTGCAAGCTTCCAGACTCCCAGGGGGTGAATCTGTGGATCTGTGTCTGAGTCCCCTGCACCCATGTGTGTGTGAATGTGTGGGTCCTTCGTGCCTCTGTGTCTGGCGTGTGTGTCTGCATCACTGTGCGGGTGCCTAAGTCTTTGTGCGTGTCTCAACCTCCGTATTGTGTCTGCGATCCTTTTCATTATGGGTGTCTGTGTCACCTTCGTGTGGCCGCGTATCTCCGGGGTTCTGAATGCTTCTGTGTGCTCGCGGGTCTCCCAGCGTCTGTTTGTGTGTGTGTGTTGGTGGTGGGGGAGGCTTTGTACCTCCCTGTATTTCTAAAGGCGCCTTTGTGTGTTTAGGTCGGGGAGAGTGGACGAGTAAATGTGGAGTTTTTCTCCCACATCTTGGTCCCTTCTTTGCTTAACCTGGAAACCCCAGGCCTTGACCCGCGAAGTTGGGCCTGGGCCTGGGCCTGGGCCGTCTTCTCTCGGCATCTGAGGCGGGGGCGCGGCTGCTGCAGGGAGAAGCCAGGCGGGCAAAGGTTTCTGCGCGCAGAGCCAGAGCCCGGAGGTGCGGAGCCCGGCTCGGGCCCTGCGGGCGGACCAGGCACATTCTGCCCTCTGCTGGCCACGGTGCGTCCCTGCAACCGGGGCTGCGCGACTGCCTGCAGGCCAGAGTCCTTGTTCCAGGCTCAAACCCTCGCCCTCTCCTTCAGGGTGCACAGGGGAATCCTCTCCCATTACAGGCCCTAAACTCCCAGCTTCTGGCGCAGGGATCCATCCCCTCCCCCTGTTTTCCACTCCCCACCTTCCCTGTGCCTGACCCCTTCTACTTCACAACTCTCCTTTACCGCCCCTTGGCTGAATAAGGGCCCCTTTACCCCGGCCTCCGAGGCTTCTCTGACTCTTGGGTTGGCGTCCAGGGCCGATCGGGGGCTGATGGCTGTGCCCAGAGGCGCGTTTCTCAGGCCACTCAAAGGCTGGGTCTCCGGGCAGAAGGATTTTTGGACAGTAACTGCTCCGTGCCGCGGCTGGTCTGACTTGGGGACTGTGGATTCTCAGCGCTTCTCCCGCGATCCTGCCAGAATCATATCTCACGCCACCAAGGCATGATATGGAGCGGGCTGCCGCGATGCGGGCCACGTCCGGGGAAGGGGCGCTGGCTTGGTGGACGCCAGAGCCTGGCTGCCTTCTCTGGTTTGGGGTGGGGCTGCTGAGTCCAAGTGAGAGGGTCCCACTTGGGCCCCTCTCAGTGTCTTCCCCCGCTGTCCATTCATTCCCCCGTGTACACAGATACACACACACACACACACACACACACACACACACCCCTACAGGCCCTGTTCCTTGCCCTTTGTCCTCATTCCTCTGTTCCCGTGCTCCCAGTTGAGTTGGCTGGTCTCGCGGGTCCTTCGCACGTAGATGCGCAGAGGCCCCAGGTCTCTCCAGGACAATCAGGGCTCCCGTCCCGCTCCACTGCTTCCCTTGCTGGAGAAGCGGCCGACTGGACGGCACAGCAGGGGCCAAGGCCCAGAGCCAGCTCCTGCCCGCAGGCGGTGAGTGGCGCCTTGCTCCACCGGGGCCCTGCGGGTGCGATCCCGGACCGATCCCGGACCAGCGGATTTCCCCGGGCGCCTGCGGCCCACGTCGCGGGAGCCGCTCAGTCCTCGCCAGCGGATCCGAGATGCTCTGCCGCTCAGATTTCAGCGGCAGAAACGACCTCGGATTCTTTCCACCTGGGGAAAGACTGAGTCGGCGGCTCGGAATCGCTGGAAGAAGCGAGAATGGAAAGGGAGGCTCCGGGGTTGGGGTCTCGGCTCCTTCCAGTCTGCGGACGCCCCAGCTCCACTAAGCCCTGCCCTAGTCCCCCTTGCTTCTCTTCTTATGGCCGTGCACCCTCTCCTCTGCGCCACCCGCCTCCCGCGACCAGGGTCCTCTGAGCTGCCCTCCCCCACCCCACGCAGCCCTGTCCATGCCGCACTGGGCTGTCTGGACCATTTCGTGCTTCTGACCAGAGCCGGAGCTGCACTGCCCCCTCCCTGTTTGCCACCCCTGCTGGAGGCGCGGATCTGGGGCAGCGCAGGGGCAGTCCAGGCCGGGTGCGAAGGAGCTAGAAGCCGAGGACCAGGACCTGCGAGTGTCTCTATTTACTCTGCCGGGAGAGCCAGGGCTGCGGAGAGCCTGGGCCGTCCCACGTCGCCCCGCCGTCATTGGCCCTGCCGAGTCTCAGATCCACAAGAGGCGGCCAGACTGGGTGGACCAGAGCTGTCCCAAGACGTGGGGCTGGGTTGGGGGCTGATATTCCTGGGAGGTGGCCCCGGGTCTACGGTCCCGGGAGAACCACACAGACTCAGGAAGTAGAACAGGAACACCCAGAGATTGAGTACTGGAAACTTGCCAGCCAGCAGTGACCATGTTCCGTTTCTTGGACTCCAGTTGACTGGACCCCAGGACACATGGGCCAAAGGGTTGGGCCCCTTCTCACCTAGAGATGGCCGTGTGTAATCATCACAGAGTAACCCTTGCCGCAGCACGGTGCAAGTGTCTGTGGTCTTGCTGTGCGGGTGGGAGACCTCACAGCGACCTTGAACCCAGATGGAGGCCCACGCCGAGGAGTGATGGGATGGGTCCCAGCTGGGATCCTTTGAATCAGGGCTGGGAACTGGTTGCCTCTCCCATTGGGGTTTTTGAGCCTGATGGGAGAGGGGTGGTGGGGACACCGGGTTTGAAGGAGAATTTGCTGGTGAGGCAGAGCATGGAGTCTGAGGCTGGGTACAAGCGTGTGTGTCTGTGTGTAGTAGGGAGACAACCAGCCCCAGTGAACCCCCTCAGTCCTTCCTGCAGCTTCCCCCCCCCCAGCGGATGGGGGCTCTGGCCACAGACCCATGACTTTCCAGCACAAGGTCTGGGTCATTAGTCATGGGATTCCTCCGCAGTGGGTCAGGAGACAGGCTCCCTCAGAGCCCAGGCTGCTGTCAGCCCTGGGGACTGGAGCCCGCAGAGACTG